GTTGATCGGCTCCTCGATGAGGAGGAAGATGGCGTTCCGCAGGGCACAATTGAAGGCAAGCGAGTGGAGGCGACTGGCTGATCAATTGGCGAGGTCATCACTGTCAAGCAGTAAATCACGACGGATATCATTTTCAGATCGAGATCTCTCGATGGAAATCCGCGGACGGTCTTGCGCTCGAGGAACGACTGCAGTTGTCCCTGGAGTTCTCTAGATATTCAAAGAGCAAAACGAGTGAATCGCTGACCGGTCTTACTGACCTACGTTTAATTAATACATGTAAAAGCTTACCGTTCAACGGTGAAAGTGCCCAGACGTTAGCGGTGACTCGGGAAGCTTGTCAAAATCAATCCCTGCATTGCTCGATCTGTTTCTGTGAGACATTACAAAACTGCGAAGGAACTTTTGGTTAAAGACTTGCTTCAACGAAGACGTGACACTTGGACGAAAGACGCGTTAAATTTGAAGTGACGCACGAAATCCCGCCGTTTATGTTAATGTCCAAGAATTCGAATTACAAAAGCGTATATATTTTTACCTATAAAGTTTTAAGTACTTCTAATAATATACCTTTAATTATAGTTAATTTATAGTCTACCGTTTTATACATGAACCTCTGGCTCGGGCAATTGGGCAACCATGCCTCACGTTAGACGATAAACTTTGATTGATTGATTGATTGAAAGCGTCGCGCGAGGGCCATTAGGGATTACCTGCGCATGCGCAAGGGAAAATTTGCATATTTTTGTTGCGGATCGGAGTGCAGCGCAAATGTTACTGTAATTCTCTTCAGTTCTCGTCATTTCTTAGCTCATTATCTTTCCTGAATTCGAAAATGAGGGGAAAACAGTTATTACTGCAGTCACTGTGATGACTTTGTCAGTCGAGGTACACGATCGAGACATCTCAAACAAATTGCAGAGAGAACGGAAATTGCCTCTAAAAGTGACAATAGCGCTAGTGACGTCGAGAGAGATTCTGAAGTACACTTCTTGGAATCCCACGATAGTTTTGAGGATCATGAGGAATGCCTCAGTACAGATTTAGCCCTGTCGATCCCTATCCCTTGTTCTATCTTTTTTATTAACTTTTAACACAATGACATTTCTCTTCTTTTCGACAGTCTAATGTGGGACATTGGCTTGGGTTTTTACTAATAAAATACGAACAGTACCGCAGAAGTTAACAGTCAGTTTATTTATTTATTTATTTATTTATTTATTTAATTACTTTCACCAGAGTGTGGTGAGGGCCGCACAACAGAGCGAGGGTCCAAATTAAGTTCGCCCAATATCCC